CTCTCTCTCTCTCTCTCTCTCTCTCTCTCTCTCTCTCTCTCTCTCTCTCTCTCTCAGTATAACTGTACTTGGGGGAAAATATAGTCTCTCCAGTGAACGTTCTTGGTTAACAATAAGAGTTTTTAAATTGTTAGTGACGGGGAACGTATAAGGATGGCGTTTCTGCTATGACGTAGATACCAGTTCACGTTCTCCAAGGAACAACACTGAAGTGAGAGCAGATGTTAGACAAACTCACGTGTCTCTTGCTGTTTTAAGGCAGATGTGGGGGGATACGAGAAACCTCAGTTTAGTTGCTCAAACTGTACTAGAGAAAAGGGTCCAGGATCAAATCATCGATCAGAATAAAAATGATCTTAAATCTCTTTGAGGGTGTGTGTCTAGGGCTAGAGAGAGCCTACAAGGTTCCCCGCTGCTCGTTGCTCTGTACAAAACAGTATCCCAGGCATTGTCTTTTTTTTTTTTCTATGAGTTAGAACACTGGGGGTTAAATGTTTTTCTATTGTTGCTGTTTAAAATTGTTTGGGGTACAGTGAGGGGGTTGGTCAAAAGCTGTCTTTTATTTCTTGCGTTGAGTTTTGTCCTGTCCTTTGATTTCCCTAAGTGACTCCATCGACTTCAAAGGTTCAACATGTACTCTGCAGATGCCATTCTGGGTTTTCAAAAACTGTAATTTTCATGGCTGTGAGACTCTGGCTACAGACAGATTGAACTGGTGACCTTTGGCAGCAGACACAGTGTTAGGTGGAGTGGGAAACATTCGGAGTGGAAGGAAGCAAAGTGCCCACGTGAGAGCTGAGAGGACTGTGTCTGGATCTCCGGTCTTGGGGAGCTGCTGGAGTCTGGGTGATACTATTAATGCCTCTTGACCTGGTCTTGGCAACTCTAACAAGCCATTTGCTCTATGACCTATAGTAAAGCACATTCCCTCAGGGAGCAACAATGAGAATAAAGAGGTTGAGCTGGCTCAGTGGTTTCCACAGTGGCATTTTGGCCATGGAGCCCTGTGTTTAAATGAACTTAATTGTACAGCAGGCCAGCCAGGCAGAGACTGAAGAGAAGCCACAGTACTTCAGGTGGTGGCGTGAGCCTTGAAGTCTGGCACCTTCCTGTCACCAAACAGTCTGGACCCTTGTTTTCCACATGGCGTCTAGATCTCCCTTCAGCTGCGGCACAGCGGAGAAGGGGGGCTTCATCCTGAGTCGGCAAGGCTGTACCTCTGGCCAGCCACACACAGCCTTAGGCAGTTACTTTCTTCCAATTTAGGCACTGGACAAAACAGTCAAGATGGTAATAAAAGGGAAATGTGGGATCAAGGTGGAAGGAAAACCGCTTCTCTTACCACTCCAGGTCCTTATGCTAGTCTATGAATTCATTTTAACATGATGTAGTAATAGGAGAAAAGCATTGTAGTCTGCACACATGCATGGAGGTTCAGGTCGCTGGAGCTTGAATGATACCCAGAGGTATGGATTGTCAGGGATGCCTAGGCCTCAAGATGAGCTCTCTCAGATGATGCAGGTTGTCTGGAAGCCACTCTCTTCCTGGCTGGACACATTTGCTGGCAAAATTTCTTTTATACATGTGATCAAAGGGAAACCATGCATTTTACTGAAGGCAAGAGAGGCGGAAGTAGAATTTGTTCAACATTGACTGGTTCTCACTTTCTTTTAAATCAAAGTCATCGATATGTCAAAGAGGCAAGTTTGGGGGGTGACATATTTGGATCTTCTTCCGGTCGAGGTGGTTGGGGTTGGTCCTAACCTAGCCCCTGAACTCTGGTGTTTGATGGCAGCGTCAGCTTTTCCTCACTCACCGGCTCTTCTGGAGAACGCAAATGACAGCGGTCCAACCTGCCAACCTCACAGATGTGAGAAGAGACTCCAGTCAAACAGATTCACGAACTCAGGTCCGTCAGCATCTATCGATTATTTGCTGGATGAGGTCTTGTGCTAAGAACAGAGCGGGGTTCGGCAGTCACTAAGTGCAGCTCAGCTCCAGGGTGGCTGCCATGGTAACCCTTGTGTGAATGTCGGGTACCAACCTTCCTTACAAATCAGAGTGTGCAGGGAGAAAAACAGCAACAACAAAAACCTCACCTCGTGAATTTAAACTGACATCACGGAGCACAGGAGAAAAATCAGAAACATTTCTAAAGTTGCTTCCTAGGAAAAATCCAACCTGTGATCAAGATTATAATATACCGGAAGGAAAAAGAAGTAGGTTGGGGGTGTGGCTCAGTGGTGGGGTATGCAGTTAGCAGGTGAAAGCTCTGGGTCTGAGCCTCGGAACCACAACAAAGCAAAAAGAAAAATCTCCGTTCTGCATATCAGCTGCCAGCGGAATTCAAAGCATTCTCGATAGCAAAGGGCCTTTTCTGAAGAAATGGATGATTACGCCGCAAGGAAACGACTCCTAGGACTTCCACCAGTGAGAAGAAGGAGTAGAAATGTCTCTGCCTGTTCCTAACACCGAGTTCAGCTCCAAAACAAAACAAAACAAAAAACATGGTGTACATAAATGAAATGAGAAGGCTGGAGGACAGAAGGAAACAGTCCGACGAAGAACTCCTTCCAGGCAGACGGCACCATTTTGGCCTCAGCTCCCGGGTCCTTGCCTGACACCTCGCAGACTTGGAACTGAGACCAGCAGCTTGCTGCACCACGAGGGGAGGCAATGACAGTCCCTGAAGAACCTATCCCCTCCAACTAAGGGACAGGAAAGGAAGCCTAAGAAGTGGTACTAGGAGGAGACACTCCACTGCGGACCTACACCTCAGAACACCTGGTCACAGCTCACTCTGGCAGCCGCAGGAACCAGGCCCTGGCTGCCAGCCTTGTGGACCTGGGAGTGCCAGACCAACAAAGGTCGACTTAAAATGGTGGGAACAGAAGTTATCTC